TGGTTTGATCAGGAGGCCCCGCATCTGTTTCCTCCGATACGTTGGTGTCCACGTCTTCTTTGTGACTTGTGTTAGGTAGTATGTGCTCAGACTCTTCCTGAGCATTGATTGTGAGGCTGGTGTCGGTCATGCTGGACTCTGTGAGAGTACTGGTGCCACTGCTGGAGTCTGACTGACCAGCTTTGGTGTGAGTGTCTGGCTCTGCCTCAGCTGGGTCCTGATGTGTTTCTTCTGTGTCGCTAGAGTCTGTGTATCCTGCCAGTTCCTTCCTCAAGCTCTGCGCTCTTTCCATGTAGCTTTTACTCAGTTCAGCATCGGGTATGTCGTTGGCATGGATCTCTGCAAGCTTCATGTAGATTATGTACAGTGTGCTTAGGCTTTCTTTGTCCTCCAGTGCTGCCGCCAGGGCTAAGTGGAAGTAGCCCATAGCATCAAATGCATCCTAAGCCAGAAAAAGTACTAAACATTCTTCATCAAATTCATTTACTCTGAATGTTACTGCTAAACTTATTTTTGTAGCTAGTTTGGGCCTCATTCACTAATAATTTCACACAATTTGTGTTAACATATACAGAAAATTTCTCACAGAAGATTAAAGGTTTTAAAATAAAAATACATGTGAATGCAGGTGAGAGCATGATTTTCTGTTTCTTCATTTATGTGTGTGGATGCATGTACTTTACTGTATTCTTACATTCAAAATATTCAGTCTAGGATGGATGTAACTGTAAAATGTTAAACATAATGAGAGTCTCACCTTTAATCTGTATAGGGTCAGATCAGCAAGTCTGCAGTACACTTTAACATAGTACCGAACTTCAATGGCATGTTCAAGTGCAGTGGGGGAGAGTGAAAGAGACTTCAGGTAGTAGTTCTCAGCCATCTCATACTTCCCTAGAGAGAAGTACACTGAAGCAAGACGATGGTAGGACACTCTCTCATTCAGAGGAACACCTGTGAGAAATACACATAGCACTTAATATTAAAAGGAGCAAACTTTGTCAGGTTATTGCATTTTCCTTTCTGTCAGAAAATATTTGAACCCCAGTTTCAGTTAAGATTAACTGTCTGCTCACCTGACAGTACAGAAAAAAACCAATGCATTATGTACTTTAAAATGTAAACACATGGCACACCATTTACAGCCCATTTTACTTCTGCAATGTGATGCATTACGGAGTAAAAAGTGATATTCAATGCAGGGTGCATCTCATCTTTGAGAATAAATAAATTGATTGGATGTGAAGGCTGAAAGTAATTAAGTTCGCTCAAGAGAACATCTTAGTTTATCTCAATATTAATCAAATCTGTCATCATTTTTAACTGTTGCTGTCAAATTAATATTAACCAGCATTACATTATGATAGCTTTAAACAATGCATAAATAAGCATCACTGTCTGGGTGACATCAATAGAACAGGAAAGTCATTTAAGGAAAGATCTTTTTAAAGTATAGCATGCACTGGTGACTCAAGTACAGTTTGACCAGGAACATGTATTTAACTAAATTAAACTGGATCTGTTTAGATTTCATCTTGAATTGCATGTATTATGACGTATTCTGCAAATGTTGCATGCTGTAGAGGACATGTGTCTCCAGCAGGGGGCCACGTAGATTAAGATTTACAAGCAAAAGGTGCAGTCAAACTGGCTTTCTATTATTTATTATTATTATCATTATTATTATTAATCATCATCATAATTGTACAGGGTCTATAGTCATAATTTTCAAAACAGTACTTTATTGGCTTTAGATTTCCAAGGTTATGGCTGTGTTATGGCTATGATGCATATAAAGGTCTTACCAGTTGTAACGCTGACCTGCACTGCGAGTGTTGCATACTGCAGTGCCTCTTCATACTGCTTCTGCTTCGTCAGGAGCTCTGAGAGTTTGCTCAACAGCCTAAACTCTGAGTGCACATCCTTAATGCTGCGTGCAAATGGCAAACTCCCATCCTTTAAAAAAAACACACACACGTAGATAGATTCAGATGAATAACATGTGATTTAGCATGGATTCCTAGATTATTTGACTATTATTGAAATGTCTTGGTAATATCTTTTGTGAACCCAAAGTGAGGCCTACTCTGTAAAAAGGTAAAGCAGCCAGTTGGTTTCTGTGTCCTTTGAAGAACACATCTCCTGCTTCCTCATAAATGCTCATAGCAAAGCATGGGTCGTTCATCCTCAGGGCTGTCTTTACTGCTGCCTGTAAACAGTTGTCATAACAGCTAGAACAAATATAGTCATAACAGCTGATAAAACATACATGTAGGCTATGTGATATGGTAATAAGCTTTTTTTATCACAGACTAAAAATTTAAAGATGAAACTTTTCACAGATTTGGTGGCATACATTTCCAAATAGATATGCAAAAATGATAACACTAATCAATAATTAACGTTAACTCCTTTTGCAATACCCTGCTTTGGTCCTTTGTCTTACCTGTAGGTACATGTCAGCCAGTTCATCTTCATGGATCAGATAGTAGATACGGCCCACTTGAAGCCATGTCTCAGACTCTTCCTGTCTTTTTCCCAGGTCTATGGAGATCCTTAAGCTTTGCTTTGAATAATCTAGAGACTTCCTTGATGACCTGCAAGGATATTTTTTAATAAATTATTTTTTAATTGACTGATTCATTTGTTTTTTTTTAATTGACTGATTCGTTTGATCAAGTGTCAAAGTATTGGCAATAGTGCTATATTGTGCTTAGAGTAGCTCTTACTTCTCAGTGTTGAGTGAGAGATAGAGATTGCTGAGAAGTTCCAGGTACTCTCCTTCTAGCTGTTTATTCTTTAGTATTCTGCACAGCCCCACACAGTGCTCATAGTAAACAATACACTGTCCATACAGCAGCAAGTCAGCATAATGGCGACTTAGAACTTTTGCCACAACCATTTGACCTGCATTTGGAAGGAGTTTTTTTTTTATTCACTCTTAAAAATGTCTGAATTGAATTGCATTACATATAAAATTTCAAACATGTGCAAACAAATGATAATGGACCTCTTCTCAGGACTAACTTCACTTTTGAGGCATTTTTAAATAAATTTTTAACCAATTGGTTTTGAGGTCATTTTTTGTGGTTGCAAGTTCACCTCAAGTTCAAAACCAGGTGGCCTATCAGAATAACTACCAAGTACAGTTTGTCATATTAATAATAATTATCATATTTATAATAAACACATTACACAAAGTTTGACCACCAGAAAGTGTCCAAGAGTTTTTGTATTCAATTTGAACAATACGTTTATAATCTTCATTTTCAAGTTATCATTTTGTGAAATGTTTTGATTGGAAAGTGTGCTTGTGCTATATATCTTTTAAATAAATGCCACTTATTTTGATATTGTTATATAATCCCAATATATTTACCAATACTTTCTGGTGCCACTATAGGTATCAGGTAAAGATGCAAACTTTCATGATGCAATCCAGAAATGTCAAATCTTGTTATACTTACTGTGCAGATTGTTGGCACTAATAGCAATAAGGAGGCCCATCTCAAAGCATAGTCTGACTTCCTGACTCCCTCCTCTATCCTTGTAGCTCCTGCCAAGCCAAAGCAAAGCCTGGACATGCTCCTGATCTGTGGGACTCTCTGAGAGAAACTGGAATAGGCGCAGGGAATTGAGTAGGAAACTCTCTGCTAAGCCCGAAGCCCCTACAGATAGAGATAAGCAGCCCAAGTTAGCCAGTGCAAGTGCTTCATTACGCTTGTTCCCATTCTCTCGAGAGATCTGCAAAGCGCAATAAAAGTTTCTTGCTGCCTCCTGGACTCTACCCTGTTTGCGGAGGCATAGGGCTAGAAGGTTGTAGACTACACCACGCTGTGTCGGACTGTCTGTTTCATCCAAAGATTTAAGCATATGTTGCAGAGTATTCTGAGCTTGTATGGGTTCCTCTGTTAGCACCAATAGCCAGGCCAGCAGTATGGATGCCTCAAAGCCCTCCTCTTCATTAATTTGGCTTCCAGTCTGTGCTGCTTTTTGGGCAAAGGGCACAGCCTTTTCTAAAGCTCCATGCTGCTGGTAAACACTAGCCAGGCTCAGGCACAGGTCCCTCTGAGTCCTCAAGTCTTCCCCTTGACTAGCTATTGACAAGGCCTGCTGAAGGTAGACCACCACCTGTGCAGGAAGCACTGAAGTACTTTCCTTCCAGTGAGGATTAAGCCTGACTGAGTTTTTGATAAAGAGTTCAATTTTCTGGAATGCATCATCCAAGGAATGCTCTTGCCCAGAGTCTAGACTTAAAGAAGCTAGTGTGAGGTAGGGCAAATACTTTTTATGATAAAGCCTGCACAGCATCCAATTGAGATCAACAGGGGCAACTGGCCTCCCTTCTTCCGCAGACAGTGTTATGGTAAGGAATTGAAGTCTCTCTACAAAAGGTAAAGCATCCTCTATTTTTCTTAGACGGAGAAGGCAGCTTGTTTCTGTTTGAGGTAAACAGCAGTGAGATTGGTATACAGGGCAATTAGAAGAGGCTTGTCATCAAAACCCTAAAACCCTTTCTTTAGAGCCTCCTCAAAGTACACTCGTGCCTGCGAGTACTTCAGTTTCTTGGCACATAGCCGTCCAAGAAGGAAGCAGGCTCCCCGGGGGGGC